TGTTGTTGTTGTTGTTGTTGTTGTTGTTGTTGTTGTTGTTGTTGTTGGTAGGGACAAAACACAGCTGCCCAACATAGTTGTCACATGTTGCAAGTCAGGGATTTCAAAGGGACACGACTAGGGATAGGGTCGAAAGTTTGGAGAGATGTTAGTAGCTGGACTTCTTGTCGTTGTGGTACTCAAGTTTTGGTTGGTCTGGTTCTTGTTTTTTGATGTTTTTGGGGTGTTGTTCTGGAGGGGGGATCAAAAAAACAACAACGGGGAGGGGTAGAGACAACAAGATCTTTGGAGAGGGGGTCCAAAAATACAACAACGGGGCTGCAGCTTTTGTCTCTAGGATCTGGTAGAGGTTCTAAGTAGAACCTTTACAAGGGCTTAGCTGACCGGACTACCACTACCACTACCACTACCACTACTACTACTACCACCACTACCACCACTACTACTACTACTACTACCACTACCACTACCACTACTACTACTACTACTAGTAGTAAAACTAGGCTACTCCCACGACCACTAGTACCACTAGTACAAGCACTACCACTACTGGTAAAAGTACATGTCGGCTGGCTGTTTTCGGGGGGGGGGAGTCAAAATAACAACGCCGGGGCTGCAGATTTTGTTTCCACCCCCTTGTAGAGACAAAGGAACAAGATATCTTGTAACGGGGCTGCAGTTTTATTTTACGTTGTTGTTGTTGTTGTTGTTGTTGCCGCTTTTGATGGTGTTTGAAGTAGTCCTTCTGCCTGATAATGTGAATGGGTAAAACATGGTCCTAAGGGAAGATGAGGATGTTAAGGTCTCAAGAGAGAAGCATCCTCAGGTCATCTTTGTGAGGATTGATGTTGCGGGATCAACTCCTCACGCCAAACATACCTGGTTCCACAGACTCCAATCCATCGACTCTCGTGAAGGGGTACGTCCAGTGACCTCCATCGATGTTTGCTCCACGCCTCTGGGGCCTCCAGGATGCAATCGGCCATGGTGAGCACGGCAGCCAAGTCCACCGAGCGCAACTGGAAGCTGTCGATGATCATCTTCGCCAGCACCTGGTTGGGCACTACCGAGCCACGAGCCATTTCATTAAATAAATTTTGAACAGTGGAACCGTCCAGGAAAGAAAGAGCAAGGTGCTTTGGCAATGGATGGGTTGGGCTCAGAATTTGGCGCACAACTCGCTCATTCAGCACAAATAACACAAAACAATCAGCTGGAGGAAATGCGTATCGTGGCCAATAAATTAGATTCACACCTGATTCCAGAAGTGGGAGGACCGGTGTTCCGCGTGGTTTGTGAGAATTTGACTGTTAAGTGCATCAAATATGATACAAGTAGGGACATCAATCGTTCAAGCCGTCCCCCCAATGAACTGAGCCGATTCCGCTGTGGTCCGACAAGGCGACTTTCTCGCGCACACGGACCGCACTTTCGGAGGGTTGAGGAGGTCGTGACTCACGTTGTTTCTTCGAAGCCCAGAGGTCGTGACTCACGGACGGGTGACGGGTCATCTATTGTCAGACCTTCTGGCCCACACTTCGCTGAGTCGGAAAACCTGTAGAGTCGGATCCTGGTCTTCGCTCACAACGCATGGATTTCCAAAAGGAAAGGTCAATTTCGTAAGAGAAAGAACTCTCGACTCAAATTCCCAAGACCATTTTTTGCTGCTGACGGTTTGGCAAACCGCGTGGGATCTGAACCATGAGATGAATAACATGATATAACATTATAACTCTATGACAATGCCCTCCTCAGCTGGACTCGCATGCCCACACTGCCAAAGTGCTCGCTGTCTTCGACTGCTGGGTCCAGACCTGGTCGCCGCGAGAGAACTCTGTCGGATGGTGTGGTGTGGACGGCACAGTTACTGGCAGAATCAACCACCAGTGTCTAGTGTCAAGTGTCATCCCTCTCAACTCGATCAGCTTCATCTCAGCGCCACCAATAAATATATAATCTATGGACTTACTAATAGCTTCTTGTTACTGGTAGCGTCCTTGTTACTACTAGTAAGGCACTTGTTACTAGAAGCGATGCACTTGTTACTAATAGCTTCTTGTGACTCTATGGATCGTCCATCCGGCAAGGTGCTTGGGATCAAAGGTGGCAAGCTCCTGAGTATATCGCCGGCCACACCCGCCGGCTTCGAGTGATGGACTCGGAAGAGCGGATGGTTGCAGAACCGCCCCTCTCCATGTTCAACCAGCCAAAGAGAATTTCGAATTCACTGCACTCACCAGATTCATCACAGATCCCCACACACATGTTCATCATCGCCTTGATGCCACCACCCCTGCCCTCCGTAGAAGCCAAATGGCTTTTGGAACGAGTGAAACAGTTGAATGCATAGAGAGAGTACTTCCTTGGTGCTCAAATCTGGGGGTAAGTGTGGGTCAATGTCTTTTCTACGTGTCTTATCCTATCTGTTGAAAGGATGTTGGCCAAGGCTCTTCAAAGGCCTCTTGCACGTTGGGGATCCTCATTGTGTCAGACGTTGGAAGAGGGACTAGGTTGAGATGGTTCAGCGCAGCACACTGAAGGGGCACATCTCACGGGGTCTCTAGTAGAGGCCTTTCCGACCTTCCAAAGAACCGGAAACAGAATACCGAAACACTGTAGAAGAGAGACTCTGCACTTTGTCGAGGGGTCAAGGATGAAAAACAACTCGAGCCTCCTCTTCCTGTGTCACAAGAAAATGGAAGTGGGGGGTGAGAAGGCATGCAGGTTTTGTGAGGGTAACCCATGTCCATGCCCAATTGACCCTCAAGATTCAAGACTGAATCCATGACTATCAGAAATAAATAAAGTATACAATGCGGTTTGCTGCTAGGCTCTCAAACAGTAACAGAGAAGCGGTCTATGCCCTGACACTGGGTCATTCAATAGAATCGATCAGGTGGATGGCAACCCCCGCTTTGCATGTTTGCTGTGGAAGCATGTCTTGGATCGCCTCACCGTCAAGGTCCTGTACCACATCTTCTGGAACTAACCTGGTACAAGTCTCCATCAGAATACTCCCACCAGTATGCCCTGGTTGGTTAAACAACCGACCAAGCCAAGCGAGGGCTAAGCGAGCACGGTACGAAGCCCAGGTCTACAGTGTGCTACTGTGAGGACTGTCAGGGGAAGATCAGTTCCCTTTCGGGAATGGAATATTGGAATTCTATGTGTATATATATATATTGTTATATTATGATCTAATATTATACTATATCATATCAATAATATGAGCAAGGACGCTACTAGGGGCTCCTGGCCTTACTACTAGTAACAAGAAGCTACTAGTAACATCTAGTAACAAAGGGCATCGCTACTAGGAGCAAGGACGCTTTTCCACACACCGTAATACGAATCGCCGGAAGTCGCGCCGCTTCGCGCCGGCCATGGATCTGAATGCTTGCCAAGTCGTAGCGCTTCGACCGATTGCTGGTACTCCTGGATCCAAAGGAGGTCGCACCAGGAAAGGGGCCAAGAGGAGTTAGCTCCCAGGGGAAGAGAAACCTCAATCTATCAATGAGACCTTGCTTTGGGTTGGCTGCTTTGAATATGAGTTGTGCTCAAAGTGATTTGTTGGGGATCCGTGCAGATCTTTGACATGCAGAGTTGCAAACGCCACTGAGGAGTTGTTCTTTAGAATACACAAGACGTTGGTGAGAATAGTTTATTTATTTGTGCAAGCTCAGGAGAAAATGCGCTAGTGGAGTACGTGCAAGTTTTCTGAGCAAGTATGGTCTACGGTCTGCAGGTCCTGCAAGCCACACCAGCAAAGTCGAAGCAACGCGTGTTTGTCTTAGTAGCAAGAAGCTACTAGGTGGAGGCCATCGCTACTAGTAACAAGAAGCTACGAACGTAGCTAGAAGCTACTAGGGGCTCCTGGCCTTACTACTAGGAGCAAGGACGCTACTAGGGGCTCCTGGCATCGCTACTAGTAACAAGAAGCTACGAACGTAGCTATTTGCTATTGCATCCGACACTCTCGGCTCCGATTCTCCGGAAGCCTCCCCTTTCCCACTTGGGAACCCGCTGCTTGAGGCATTTACCAAGTCTCACTTCGTCAGCTGCAAATGGCGAGCACGACAGCACCTCTCCTGACTTTCTTCAGACTTCGAAGCTCTTTGGGATCGCTCCTCAGAGATCCATTCTGTCATGGTCTGTTTCTGATGGCCCCCAGCTCGGAAAACTACTACCATTCCTCACTATTTGGGGGATTGATTGCTGAGTGCTAAGCCAAACGAATGCATTGACATCCGGCAAGTTCCCTCAACTGACCGCCCTGCGTCCTGTCGACGTCCGCATAGACCTGCGACCGAAACATACCCGCTGCCTTCGATCAAACACAACAAATTGACTAATACACCATCTGCGACATGTACCTACAATTCCTTTCGATCACATCGCATGCTGGCAGCTAGTCCCGGCAGTTGAGAGCCTCAAAAACAACGCGACAAGGGCCTAAGTGAGCGATCTGAATAAATGTCATGAGTGACTCAAGTGTTCAGCTCTAGCGTACCATAGTACTACAGACCATAGACCTATCTATATTCCAGAATCGATACGTCTCAAGTGGGGCGTTGATGCCACTCCTGCTAAGCTGCTAAAAGCTAAACATCCATTTCGACGTACAATAGGATAAATTTGACTAGTGTCTTAACCATCCATGCCTCTCTGTGGCATTCGCGCAACCAGGCAATGAAGTAGTCACCATCGGCATCAGCGGCCTGGTCTGCGGAATTACCATTAGATGATAAAAGTATATATATATAGAGAGAGAGAGATTAGTATATTGTATTATATTATATATACACTATATGTCATATAGTTTATATACTAATATACTATATTATATATATATATATGTCTTGTCGGTGGTGGCCTTTCAGGACTTCCAGGGCGCAAGACTCGGATGGGCCAAGATGGTCCATGGGCCAACTAATTTGACCAAAGGAGGGATCCCTCAAGGTCTTTGAGAAGGTGCGTGCAGATGGCATGAGTGCCCCACACCACAGCCCACCGTCTACTGGTCCAATTATGTCCAAATCAGTTTTCGCATATGACAGCCTTGGGATCCGCCAGCAGCTCATCGACAGATCGAAAGTACCAGTCCTGCCAGCATCCACTGTTCCATCTGAGGGAACATTCCAGCATAAAACCATTCGCTGTCGAATTCCGGTTTAGCATTCTCTGAGCCTTGTATGCCCCTACTACCTACCGAAGCTTGCCCATCTGCTATTGAAACTGAAAACGTAAAGAACCCCGCTCACCTTCTTTCAATCTACTCTACCCATCCTGCTTGTCTCAATCTTCCTGTCTGACAACCAACTCAGCTCATCAACTTTGAACAACTCAAATCTCTCCACTCGCACCACTCGCAGCACCCTGACCGATGTCCCCCAAACACCCGCCATCTCCTCCGCGCGCTGCACGAAGTCCACTGCGCCCTTGGAGCGTAACTGTTCCGCCAGGCCAGAGATCCAGGTCCTCCGCAGAAAGGCACGACATTCGCATCGCTCCCAGCACCCACCGAGGGGTTCAGATGAAGAGCAGGTGAAAGTGAGAAGAAGAAGAAGAGGAGGAGGAGGAGGAGGAGGAGGGAGGAGGAGGAGGCAGGAGGAGGAGGCAGGAGGAGGAGGAGAATGGTGCGGCCGCCCTGACTGAACAGTGAGGTGATTCTAGATTCAGAGCAGGCAGGCAAAAGAAGAAAGTGGTTGGATCCATCCTAACCGCTTGATTCCAGTGGATGATCGTTGATGCCTGACAGAGCGATAGTCTTTGACCAACTGAAAGAAAATCACAGTTGTTCGTTAATTCTGAGAAAGGTAGTGAGCCTGAGGGATGTGAAACACTATCGAGTGTTTCGTTTGAGCCCACAGCCAAGCCTGTGTGGCACAAAGCCGCTCCCTCACTGGGCGTTGCACACATGCTGAAGTCGTCCTTTGATGATTTTCAGGACCAAAACCGTATATTTTTGTGAGATCTGCCAAACGAGCATATGATATCTTCGCAGCCTCTGCAGGAGTTCTCTGCCTGGCATTTGTTTGGTGGGTCTCTATGACTGTATGGTAATATGATGCCTAAGCTGTTCAACATCCTGCCAAAAAAGAGAACAACGCCAGCAGAGACCCCAGATAGCAAAAAGACTTTTGTGGCAGCACCAGCAGCACAATGCAGAGGCCACTGCTGCGGCAAGGTGGCAGCACCCTGCAGCGGCTGCAGCGCCCAAGCGCACACAGCAGCGGCACCCTGCAACGGCACCAGCACCCAAGCGCACCCTGCAGCGGCACCGGAACAGCACTGGCACCCCACAGCGGCACCACCATCCAGGCTCGAAAACGCACACATGCAGCTTTTCCTATACTTGAAGTAAGAACCCCATTTGCTCACGCTATCTGAGGAAATACTTGGCCTAGGAGCCATTGGAGCCATGCTTCCCAACTCACCCTTCACTCCAGGTGCCTGGGAGGTTGTGAGCCTTTGGCCTTCAGGTATCTCTCCAACGGTGCTCGCCGCACCGGGACCTGCGCAACCGCTGGATGGGGACTGGATGGCTCAACATGGATGGGTTCATGTAAGTACCATGTCGGGCCCATGGAACCTCGATGTCTTCTATATCCACTGCCTAAGTCATCCAAATCGACCTATCCAAAAAATTCCTCATGGATCCATCTCGTCCCATCTCACCCAAATGTCCACGTCCTATGTGCCCGAAGCACATAGCCCCCACCGTGTGACCCCAGCACCCTGGCGCACCAAGCCCCCATCGTTTGGGCGCCGCCAAAGCTTTCCGCCAGCCTGGCTGTGAGCGTCTCAAAACAATTGGTGACTGTAAGCGGGAAGAATACATATGATGAGACAAGTGAGAATGCCTTTGAACATAAAGTTCAAGTTATTCATTCCTGCCCAGGAAGGTCGAAAAGCAATTCAATAGTTGATACATGAAGTTTATGCTGTTCTTTTAAATTTAACCTATGTAATAAGCAAATGGCCTAAACAAGTCGAACATTCCATCATTCCAAAGTTACATTCTCTTAACTCAACCAATAGCTTGCCAGTGCCAGCAGAACTATGTATAGTATACATATTTGTCATGCATCGATCTTCTTAATGGGATTCGTGTAATGAACTATGACTATACAGGTGATAAACGTCACTGAACTATTTTGGAAGGATTCATTATATATATATATATATATAACTGCTTGCTCCTTTCTGGGCTGGGGGCCTCCAAAATCGGTATATATATCGTTTGTTTGCCTAATTCAAAAGAATTGTATAACTGAACTGACAGAATTAAGTGCTCCATTACAACGTGGCATGTGGATGTCCAGAACACAACGATTGCAACTCATCATGTACTTGTTCGTTTATCTATATAACTTAATTGAACAAATTAAGTGTTCTTGGAAGGCGAAACATTGTAATTTTGTGTGAGACCACTCGCCGCTGTGAGGAAATAGTCTTAGAAGATCGCATGCAACTCTGTGATGAACAGGGCCCACCCTTTTTGTTAGAGAAGTGCGTACTTGGTCAAAAGTGAAAAGGTGTGCCTCTTCATGTGAACCCTTTGGGTTGTGTTCCGGTCATGCCAAAGCGGTTCATCACTACCTCGGTCATGTGACCTGGAGGGTCTGAGAACCAGTGCGGCCGCAAGCCCTTTTGTCAAAAGAACATCAGGTTCGGCCACATCCAGGTCTACAATGTAATAATGTAGATCCTTAAGAAGATCTAGCGTCAAGTTTGTGAATGCAGCACCACAGCGGGCGTCCCAAGATTTTTGGAATTAGATTTTTTCCCGGATTTGTTTGAGAGTCTTATACTTTCAAGACCTCATTGTTTCAAGATTGCTTAGAGTTCTTAGAGCTTCTAGACAGAACTTTTGCGACATACCTTGTTTGGGGTAACTGAAAGTTTAGACCGAACTTCCTCGAAGCCTTAAAACAATTAGAATTCCGGTGTGTTTTTTGCTTTTTAGACTCTGAAAGAACACATAGAAAGGGAAATTGGTTCCAGAAAATGTTAGATTGGGTTTTGTTCTTCTAGAAAGTTCGCGAACTTTCCCGAATTTTCTTTGAGTTGACTCAGTAGCAATTGCTTGTGATACCAGTTTCAAGGAGTGGCCAAATTGGACAAGCCAAGGAGAGAAAGTTGAAGACTTCACGACCTCATTGGAACTGTTCTCTTCAAAGGCCGGGATCAGGCTACGATTGATCCTGCGGAAACTTGAAACCACATGGCACATAAAGGCCTCCCCACGATCCAAAAAGGGATCAAATCCACGAGCAACACGTTGGCTGGAGACCAAGCAGGTTTTGCAGCACCAAAAGGAATTATGAGCCCAAAGCCCAAGCCCAACTGCCTCTGTTTGGGCCTAAAGAGGACAACACACGCAGACCGTTTTTTTGGACCACATGACCAACTCAGCGGACGGTGCCTAAAACACAAATCACCAGGACGGATTTGGCCAAAACATGCCAAAACCTGGCTCTCCATCGAGATGGCACGTTGAAGAACTTTGGTTGGTGGGTGGCAAGGAGGGTCTCAAGCAGACCTGGTAGGATTGCTGCTGGTCTATGTGGGTGACCTGCTGGCGTTGGCCTGAGGGGATCAATCCGAAGTTAGCCTAACAATCAGCACATGGGTGCAGGAAATGACCAAGAGATCACGATGGGCGACGTGGAGTACTACATACATCCGGCGGATCACTTCCTAGCAAAGCCTTCATGAAGGTGGTTGAGCTCTACAGCGATGTCTTGTATGCCCCGTACGAGAGCGAAGCCTTTTAGGCCAAAGCCGTATGGCTCCATCGACGATTGTCCAAGGCGTACAGCTTGCCGCCCCACGCGAGACACTGAGGCCACACTGGCGGTTGATGGTCAACTGTCGATGTCTGCACCGCCCGTCCGACGGAAGGACACCATCCACTCAAAAGGGGGGAGATGTTCATGGGCAAGGTGAAGGCTCGGCCAAAACGGGCATTGCCAAAGGGTCCGCCATGTCCACTACTACGCGCAGGATATGAGACCCATGGCATCAAGCGCACTGGCCGCTACCTCCAGGATTGAGAGTGCCAAATCACGTGGAAGGTGACCCTGTGCAGTCCATCTTGTGGAACCACAATGTGCGTGACGGTATGACATGATCTAGCGGGTGTTGAAGGAACAGGCACTGATATATCGGCCAGTGAGCAGGGCTGAGTATAGATATATAGGGACACTATCAACGTTGGCTTTGATCGATGATTGGTGCGAAAGCCTGGCCCAAGGGTGCGACGCTTTCACCCAGAGCACCGCTCGACTCCAGCGACGCAGGCAGTTTTAGGTTCGGCCTTCCTGGGACCGGATAATGGTCGGACTGGTCGGAATGAACTTGATTCCTGTTCAAGGCGGAAGGACCCAAATTGATCTACCGCCGCGACCAACACGTTTGCCGCAAGACAAAACAGGTCCAACTTTGAAAAGGCGCGCAGTGGGAAGAAAACAAAAAAACAAGGCCACGCCACACAGAGTCGTTCACAGCCTCTCGATAGACCAGAGATCTCAGGCAGGCCATGGAACGAAGCTCACCTGCCAAAATGGTCAGGAATTGTACTGACCGGCTGGAGTGTCTCCCACCATGATGATGTGGCAAACCACCTTGATTGGGAAGGAAGAATGCAGGTAGGTAGAGGATTTTCTGGAAACTCGAGAGGGTGGGTAGACGATTGATGGCCCCCATGATGGACCATGACAAGGTATTGAGCAACTGTTGATAGAAATGCTGCAACACTGACAAACCCTGCAAGTGTTGGGATGTCCTTCATCTCAGTCAGTTTGTACTGGATTTCTCCGATCAACAATTCATAATTAGGTCAAATTTAGGACTTCTCACGAACCCAAGCACAAGGGCCAACCGAGAAACACCCAAGGCTCCCCTAACCTGCCTTCCAATCGAAGCCTGCTCATGGCTTCAGGGACCTTGGAATTAACCAGGTGCACTTGTGTGAACCAAATTGATGGAAAGTTGATTCGGTTATATTTTTTAACAGTAAAACCAAATTGAACATCGGCTGATTGGGGTCTCTACCTGTCATCAGTAGGATGTACCTTTTAGCCGTCCATTGTTGACAAGCACACCACAGAGGCCACTTTGACTATGAAATAGTATCAACTGACAAGCTTGATACGCGTGCGTGTGTGTGTGTGTGTGTTTTATTTTTGTGTGTGTGTGTGTGTGTCACGTGTTTAGTTTAATGAACACATCACCCGGAGTGTCGACAAGAACCCCGACAGAACATCTCCACTGTTCAACCTGCAGTGTCTTTTGACGCATCAGCAACCCGGACACGCGGTGCACTGTGCGACCCGGACACGGGGTGGGTGCATTTCTCTTGCTGACGGATCCTGCTTCGGTATTTGTGGTCGCAAAAGTGCCCACTAAGAACGCTACTAGGAACAAAAGGCATCGCTACTAGGAGCAAGGACGCTACTAGGGGCTCCTGGCCTTGCTACAAGGAACAAGAAGCTACTAGTAACAACCTAAATGTAGCTTCTTCGGCTTCGGCCCGCGCGGTGCCAAAGACCAAATCTTTGAAGAATGCCTTCAAAGCCGGTCCTGGGCCAGAACCGCAGTGTTAAACAACACCACCAGTCCAAAAATGGTTCTGCCCTTCTGGGGTGCATCTATCAACAGAAGCTTGATCATCAGGAGTCATTGCCATGGGCAAAACAGCTCCCTAAATTCCAACGCCTCTGTATCAATTGACCTGGGAGGTGTTCTTCTAATCTCTCCGTTTTTCCTAGTGTGTCTAGTGTTTACTATTGTAGTTGGGCATAGCTCAAATATGAGTGTCTCAACAGCCGGTGCTTGGGAGAGAAAAAAAAACAGTTCAGCGTCAAGTCCTCTGAGTATACGCAAACTTGGGGCCCCGGCCAGCACCTATGCAACCGGTGAGGAACGGCACGTAGTCTGCCTGGAAATTCTGAGCATCTCAAACCTCGAAGCTCAGCTTGTGACTTGTTCCAACAATTCAATGGTCAACTGGAGCAACCGCATTCCCGTCCAACAACCAAAGCCGTGAACCACTGAGGGCGGAAGCAACTGTGTTTGTCTCAAAAAGGTGGACCACGGGCACCCAGGGCGTTTTGGAGAAATAACAAGAAGATAGGGGCCCCTTTAGTAAGGCTCCCTCCAAAATGGGAACTCTTATTCAAGGAACCCTTACCTTAGCTTCCTATGTTACTATGCTCTTCACTTTCCCCTTCCAATGCATTTTTGGAGTCTCCCACTTGTGAGCCACACCCAGTCTTCCACCCTTGTCAATAGGCCGGCACGCTGGTTGGAAGGGAAGAAGACTTGTGGCCAGGTTGGAAGAGGAATGAGACTGCCACAAATGCAACACACTCTGACATTGGTATTCAGTGAACTCAGTTCCCAAGTTGAG